TGCAGGAATTAAGAAGGCAGTAGAGTTCACATTACTAGCACAACGCCAACAACCCCCGGACATCATCACCTCCACCACCACTATCACCGGCACCCGCACCCGCATCACCACGAACAACTCCATCCCTGTTTGCAGATATCACTAATTGAACCGCGCGCAATGTCTAGCATCTAACTAAGCTTATCTATAGGGAACGTGATTTCAACCGCTCCTGTGTTGTGCAACACTTAGTGGAGTCTTTTCTTTCTGTAGTAATTTAGAGAAAAAGAGAATTTCATCACTAAGAGACCAGAAAGCCATTTAGCCTGTTCTCCGAGCTTGGCAATTTGCTTGCAAATGTTTCATCACCAGCCCAGGTGGCATCGTCAGTGCTTGTGAAGTGGACACTCCAGACTATAGAGCATTTCGTCCAGGCAGGCAGTATCCCTACCATGGTTAATCACCAAACGGCCAACTGATGTGATCCTAGTAACTGGAAGAATGTCTTACTGAGGGTACTGGGGTCCAACTTGCACTTAACCAAGCAATATTGTATGCCTTATCGATATAAACATAAATGGCCATTTGATGAATGAAATCGAAAAAGCATCTTGTGTAGCCTACCGGATTTCATTTTAAAGACGATTTGAACTTTTGTCTGTCATAACCAATCAGCCTTTTTTCAATTACCAATCCGAAAACGACCTGTTCTCGTAAAAACTGAGTACTACCAGTGAGTGACGTGGCTTATCATTGGCCTCTTCGTGTGTATTCCAACCTAGTGAACTGTCTGCTGACCTACTTTTGGCAGATTAAAAGAAACTAAAACTTGTTCCACGTGGTTTTCGGTAATTCGACTTTTTAAGCTTTTTTAATCATTTTATTTTACTTTATTGAATATACAAAGATACAATTTTCAAGAAGGGGGAAGCGGCCAAACAAAGGGCTGTCATTCAACGCGCAACGGGGAAAGTCAGGTGGCATTGTTGGGATTCGAACACACACACCCGGGGTGATAATTAGGTAAAGTTACCACCGGGCCACCACCGGCCTTTTAGAGTAAATTGAGCGAACTGTGTGCATACATGTTCTCCTGCTTGTTTAACCTTGAACGCATCAGTTGAAACTGGTATGAAAGCACTTCTGATGAAGAAAGATATCTTTTACATTCACCCTTATTGCTTGTAAACTTTCATTTGCTGTTTTTAATCTTATGTGTTGAACGTGCGTTCCATGGTATGGGTTCATCTTATGGCACTTTGTTACCCAAGCGGTGGTGGCGATGGCGTTGGTGGTTGTGCTCCTTACCGGTCGTAACGGCAGTGTTGTTGTTGTTGCTTTTATTGGTGGTGGTGGTGGTGGTGGTGGTGCGTGTTTGTACAAACTTTATAAAAAATATTCAACTTTGGGGGAAACCATTAAACCTGTAAATCCAGACGAATGTTTGGTTGAAAACGTGGCAAGAAGAAATCCACAATCCGCAATTAGTCGTTGAAAAGTGAAGCTAAATTTGCATGAACTTACATCCACTCCTAGTGCTACTCGAACAATCGTTTGAAATTCTGCGCCTATTGTAACCTCGTGTACGTCGACGCCGACAGTCTGTGAGAGTAAGCTGTTCAGACTGGTGTACGCCTCCTCCGGACTGAGCTGCAACCGATNGAGCCTGCGATTCACTCGCGTGCACCCATATCCGGTATCCGGTCAGACCGAGGTTCGGTATCAGATAGTCGTAGTCTTGTGAGTCCAGTAGAAATTTCACCTGTTGTACTGTGCGATTCGAGCACATCACGGCACGGGACGAGTGGGGCAGAGATGGGTGGATAGGTGTTAGATGCGTGTCAGGAGAGATATCAAGTGGAAAAAGCAAGCGATCAAATCACGCATCCGGTTTCATTATTCTGAGAGGGGTGGGTGGGTGCAACACACATTACGGTGTGGCCTAATTGTGTGCAGTGAAAATCTCTCCCGACGGGATGTGTGTGTGTGTGTGTATCCAAGTGGAAAACTGCGAAAAAAAAATCACATGTTCCCGATTGTGACGGGATGAGGGAAGCGATCACTTAATTTTGTGTTACCGGTGAAGGGGCACCCACAGATTTGTTTTCTTTTCAGCCTAGCCACAATCCCAATTATCCTATTTGCAAAGACATTGCCTACATTTCTTCGCGTCTATCTGCCTATCCGTATGGAGAAAATAGTTTGGGCTATGTTGAAAACAGAATTTGCAATGAAACCACGAGTGAACTACAGTTTGCTATTTCTATGAGAATGAGCGTACGTTTTACGATTTCTTTCTTCTTCGGCAAGCATTACAAATGTCTCTTAGTTTCCAACGATTCTTGCAATGCATACATATTATACGAGAGAAAGATAAATCAGTTATGGAATTTTGTCTTGTAAACAGTAATCGAACTGTGAACCCAAAAGCTGGGAGAAGGGGGTAGGGCTTGCATTCAACTCGCAAATCGGTTGGATGTGCTTGGTGGTGTGTGAGGCAAATGAAAAACAGTATGACGATCAGCTACTTGCCCGGTGGTGGAGTAAGTGATAGATAGCATGTTTCGCGTTCTACCTGAGAGGTCCCGAGGTTGAGAGGACCAGTTGGGTAGAAGGATTTGCTTACTGCTGATGATACGACCCAGTGAAGTCCATTGCTTCCTAGCTCTCTAGCTGGTATTTATCTGTTATTTACATGACAAAATTCGCCATATGAATAATAACTGTGTGTGTGTGTGTGGGGGGGGGAGAGAGGTTAGTGGCAACTGAAGTATTGGGTCCCACTGGGGAACTCGCATGAGGCTAAAATGATGTGATAGGACATGTACGATGCTCTAGCATTCAAATCACATCTCTACTGTTCCAGTCTGAAGTATTGGATATTTTATGTATTGTGTAGCCAAAGTCGAAGAGCATAGATATCAATAAAATATCACTGCATACTCAGAAGATTTTGATGAATTTTGGTGAATTTTAAGGAAAATCTGTTCGGGGCAGTAAGCTTACATGCTAGCTGGTGAATGCCATATGCCTCTGTAAGTTGAATGTGTAATTCGAAAGTGAAGAGATCAAGGCTATCGATGTGGCTCCGTAGCTCAGCTGTTAGAGCGTGTGCTGTAAAAAGGGGTAGGCGGCGTCCATACGTGGGTTCGAATCCCAACGAGGCTACTGAACTTATCACGATGGACATAAAAACTTCAAGTATGCCAAAACAACAATTTGTAATGTTTGACCAAAAGGACTGACGGCTGTTTCGTCCCCTTGAGGACTCGTCAGTCGTGCGTTACTTGTGTTTCTAGACTGGAACCGCGAACTTACCCTGGTCAACAATGAACACCTTAGCTTGATAAATTTAGAGCACCATGTATGGTTTAGCTGATTCGACGGACGACAGAAGTAACGCCCTCACTTGAGATCACTCCAAAAAAGCTGTAACTGGTGACTAGTTGAAGGACGTGATTCAAATACAACAATATGATTTGACTGAAACTACTGATGGGAAATATTCAAACAAGACGCATTCCTGATTCAATTTAATTAGATATGTAAAACGTTGGATGTGTACGCAGCACATAGCGATAATCCGATGCAACCAGTCGACGCCGCTTCAGTGTTCAATGGTGAGTTGAAACGAGTTTATTTCACAAATGCGTAGACTTGAAATCGATCGCAGGAGTGGGCTTAGGTAGTTTGGTGAAACTGAACGCCGTCCATTTAAAAAATCAAACACATGGAAATATCGAGTGATTAAACAACAGTATTGACAAAATATTGAAAATTGGTTCTCGTAGCTCGGGTGAAATGGAATACAATAGTGTTGTGGATGTGCCCTCCTTCTAAGACGCTTAAAATCACACCGAATAGTAGATATGTGAAGGAGGAGGGGCATTGCAGTTGGTGGTTTCATTCGAATTCGTATTGCCAATCCGACGATCGCTTGGACATCCTCGTTGTAGCTGTTAGTCTAAGATCGTAGAGCCGGGAGAAACCATAACTTTTTCATGTAGCGCAGCGTATTTTAATGGACAAATTTTCATTCATCACTTACTAAACTGGCTCTTATAGGTGTTGTATTATCGATTAATTTTGATGGATATTTGGTTTTCTCATAGTGATGTGGAATAACCTCCACCGTCAAAGCGCGTTTTATTGTCTCTCACCAACAAATGCATTCAATTTAATTCAGTGGTTTAGAGTCCGTTATCGGCGTGTTTCGGACCCTGTGGTCCGAGGTTCGAGCCCCGCCACCACCACCCAACTCTTGTGGTAGGCGGCTTTGCTGTCATACCCCGTCTAACGTATCGGGGCCTTATGTAGTTCGCCACTCCAAGTCCCGGTCTTAGGTTGTCGGTTTCCATCACTGAATAGCAGGTCTTCGCAATTATGTGGTTCACCTCGTCTGCTGTTCATCACACATGGGTGTGTAATAAAAACAAAAACAAGTGACAGAATGTTTGCGATGATCATTTGAGCAAACATACGTACAGCTTACTTGGTTTGGGTGACCGCGATTGGAGCATTGTAAGATGATGTGCTCAAATTGTTATGACTATGCAAATCATATGGGCACAACGTTTGTTCTGAATATGGAACACAAACTATGTGTACAGCGTTCATACTACAGTCAACTACTAATAAATCTCTCATGTCCATCGTTTGATGAAAAACAACTTACCATCACAAATGCAAACTANCTGAAAAAGTGTCACATGCCACAGGTTTCCTCGACGCGGAGTGTAAAGTAATTGCTTGGAACATCGTGTTGCGTTTTAGAACTTTAGTAGATCTTTTGGGCACATCATATACAAACTTGCGGAACACATCCTTCCCGAATAAAAGCCATTCTCGTTTTAGAATGGTAACTAGTTTATCCTTGGGTTTAGAAGGTGACAAACGTTCTTCAAAGAGAGAGAATTGTATTCAATCCACCCCACCACCACTTCAATACTNGGTGATCCCAGCCTGCGAGATGACGCATACCCTGGAGCGACACTTGACAGTTTTATGACAATTGTGATCATTCAAGCTTCACGGGTGACGTCAGCAAAGGGCGTGCGTACCACAGCTTCTAGACCACACACCATAGGTCGATCGAACCAGACAATCAGAAACTCTGCAGCCCAGACAGAAGGGGAACAACAACAGAAATACTGGAACGTGATTGACAGAGGCCCGGATGACCAATGAGCTTGGTTTGTACATATTATTTAATCCCATTTATTTCTTTCAGTAAACCAACTGTTATCCCTGTGTTCTTTTCATCGTGTAGCGGTTACGTGGAATATTGCATGCAAGAACCAGTGTGGTTCAGTGCTTCCTCCTCGTCCGTGATTGCTAATCGGGATCCGTATTCCGTAACTCGTATTTCGTGTTCACTGAGCACTACTACTACTATTATTACAAATACCACAAATTGGCGTCGCGCGATAGAGCTTCCAACCATTGAGCAACTGAACCTGCATGCCAGCCCGTCTGACGTCGAGGAGTGGGTCGAAGGATTCGGATTGTGGTGCAACATTCGTAAAGGTGGCACCGAAAACCAGTCAGCCCTACCTCTCACTACGGGTGGCCGTGACCTCTGGTTCCTGTTGAAAAACTTAGCGTTTCCCGAGGCTCCGGTTAAACTACCATAAGAATCCCTGAAGTCGTTACTGCTCAACCACCTGCTGCTCATTGAGTTCCATGCACACGAAAGTGCTAAATTTAACTCGCTGATTCGTGCGAAGCATGTTTCCTGCCGTGATTTCACTCTGCAGGTGAAGAAACAAGCATCGCGCTGCAGCTACGGCGATCGGTTGGAAGAAAAACTGTATGACCGCCCAGTAGTAGGAATAAACACTCTCCAACTCCAACACTCCAACGGAAGTTGCTGGCGAAGAAGGATTTAACTTTTGCATGTAGACCTTACCACTTGCGCTCCAATTGTCGATTCCGCAATGTCAATTGTAATGCGTACGGAAAAATTGGCCATACCTGGAGAGTGTGCAAACAGCCCGGTTGCAATCTCACACCGCCAACAGCCGTAAAAGACACAATCCCGGTGCTCTCTCTACAACCCGAAAGTCAATGTGCCCAATTCCTATACGAAGTTGTGACACTACGGTCGGGCACCAAGCACAAATTCATTATTAGAATCAATTCACCTCTTCACTTTAATATTGTGATACGATACCCAGCCCTCTATTGTATGAGCTGCGAACTGCAGCATGGTTCTGCTATAATACGAGCTCAAACCAACCATGCATACCGATTAATTACAACAGATATACTTTCAGCGTAAGAATATACGCATTTAGAGTCACTTTTAATCATTTGGAGTGATGAACTCGCTCAATCCGAGGATCGAAAATGCAACGACTACCATCAGCAAACTCCTACGACATATTCAGACATTTATTCTGCACCTGCATTTCGCCAAAGTTGAATTTGTTTTCTTCGCTGAAAAGGGACGCATTTTCATTCCCTCTCGTCACCGTGTACGTGAGCTCCAATCTCCAATACATGGTTTATAATTAATCTGTCCTGTTGTCAGTGCTACTCTTCGGTTCATTTTCCTATACCTCTCATAGGAAATATGCTAAGCAGGGTTTGTTCTCTCGCTTGAGTTGGAGCATCAAGTCCAAGGTGAACTCTCAATTCCGCGGAATGAGTGTGAAAGGAGCAAGTGTATCAACGGGAGCTTGGCTTTGTCTGTGAACGTCTCCGGGTTCGATCCATTTGGTTACTCGCTTTTTCTACTGTGATATGTACGATATGTAGGACGCAACATTAAAGACCTTGCTCGGTCACCGCCTGAATACTACACTCGAACTGTTAAAATGCTTCTCGATTTCTAACAGTAAACACTAAGTTCATTTAATTGCAAACACAGTTGTTATATGTAATACTATTAATCAACTCAATGGGTTGAGGTAAGCTCGGAAACATAACTTCTAGAGTTTGGGACAATTTTAATGAAAACACTATGCACAGAGAACGATTACCAGTGGTGACGTGGTTCGAATATTGGTCATCATTGGTTAGCTTATCACCACCGAGGTTACCAGTATATCATCTTTGATAATGCTATTTATATGACCTTCCTTTATGAAGTACAAACAGACTGAGTTGCACTCGAACTTGACTGTACGCAATTTCTACTTCTCTGGTTCATTTCTAACCTCCTTTGTTTTTCCATCTGTTTTTCAATGCATTTCTAACTCTTTTGTTTAGCCATGGTAATTGCTTCAAACCGACAGATAAACTTCATGAAAATATAAATACTAAAGTTTAAACATTAATTATCATGAACTATTTTTGTATAAAACCTTTGGTTATTTATTCTGTGGCAGTTAGTCGCTGTTCAACGCGATCTGTACTGACATATTTGTATCTACAGTTCACTTTCGATTCCCTGAA